CGCACAGCATGGCATGAATAAGATCCGTACTTCTCTACTGTAGCAAATTTTGCATGGTTCCATGTCGCATCGCTTGTCACCTTGGACAGATTGTTGTTCGCTGCTAGCTTCTCCTGATGCGGCACTTACTTCTGCGGTATTAGTTTCTTCAGAATAGATCGAGTTTTGAGAGCTTCCGCTAGCAATACTCTCAGCATCAATATTTTTCTCAATTTTCTCGTTCAATTTATTAATTTCAGATAATATGTTCTCCTAAAGAAATAAATAAATAAATAACTTAAAATTAATGTTATTATATTCAACACAATTATTTCATTATTTTTTAAATAGACGGGAATATTTATTACAAATATACAAATTGTACAATTCTAATAACAATATATTTTGTTAAATACTCACTGCTCGGATACCCGTTCTCCCAGAAATGCTGCTTACAAATTCCGTCCCTTTAATTAAATACACATAAGGACAATATTCGAACCTCTTACCCACGTGCTTTACCCACGGATCATCTTCTGGCTCCCAATCCCTTAATTTTTCACCACAGTGATAGCACAATGTTTGATCGCCACTTCCCGTGTAATAGAAACCAGCAGTTGCCAGTGTCTCTTTAGTTTGTGACATTGCTTTAGGCCATCTGTCGAACGAGGCTAATCTCACAGCATAACTGGCATATTCGGGATGCTTCGGTCTTAAGGCCATCGCTATCGCTATGCTCGCCTCACGACTGACACTTCCGGGACGCTTCGGTCTTGAGGCCATCCCTTTCAATTTACAAATCACTAATCCTTTAGAGTAATATCCCTCGCTAAATATTCCATAAACATCGTCGTAACGCACAAATGCCGGAATCGTGTTAGGATCTGTACCGATCGGCACGTTGCCGCACGGAATATTACGAATAAACCGACACTCCCCAGACCATTGTTGATGATAGGCCACTGGATTGTCATCCACCTGCCATTTGCCATATATTTCTATTGGACATTCGAAACATTGTATCTTGTCGCTCTCTCCAGTATAATAAAACCCAGCCGCCGCGAGTTTCTCTGGCTTTATCCATAAACCGCTTATCCATGGCCAATTTTTGAAACTTTTCAACCGGGTGGACTCAAATAGATCTTCATATCTTTCGTCGAAAAGTAATGAATGACTTTGAAGAATCGCGTAGTGTTTATCGTCATATGTTTCGTCGGAAGATAAGTGAGACTTTATTGGTGAACTGGGTGGCAAACAACTTTGA